GAAAGTGGGATCCCATTTGTGGCATACAACAGTGACGCGTGGAATCCCATGTGCGTGTTAAATCCCACATCGGCACCGCTCGGTACAGTGTTGTACTTCCCTACAGAGAGTGGGGCGTACTCTTTTGGTGCATATTCAGCTTTTCCGCAGCAGTACTACAATACCATGCCGCAAGCACAGCAACACTTTACCGAATCCTGCACCACCACCACCACCATTATGATGCCAGAAGCCATGAAATATAGGAGCGGAGGGGGGCTGGAGCATTGCCAGTGTGCTGCTGCTGGGTCTATAACGCCTTCTGCTCGACCGCTTCCCTCCGCTTCTGGAAGTTTTTTATTTGTTCGTTCCCCTCCATCCTTACCGCTTCCTGCAGCAGCCAACGATGTTTCTAATACGCCGCGTCCCACGGATGCCACTGTGGTCATTGCGGGATATTTAGGGGAGAGTGAACGCGGGGGGTCGCAGGGCCATGAAATCCCTTTTGAGGCCCGCCGGTCACGAAGCTCCCGGGCTGGAAATACCCATCGTGACTATGGGGATAAGTTTGGTGAATGCCCTTCGACGCTTTCCATGTTTTTTTCGCTTCCAACACTTTTTACCGATTTGACAGCGTACACCAAGCGTCGTCCTCCGCGTGCGGGAAAAAAGGATGACAGCGACAGCCAATTGCGGGTGGAAGATGTACATTACGTGTACCTGGTTGGGCATCGTTGCAGACGCACTGTGTGCGCCGCCAGCGTCCTACATGAGGTGGGTGAGATGGTGGTACTTGAGGGCGATATGGGAATTGAAATGGGTTCGGTACAGTTGGTTCTCCCGGTGGAGGAATTTGAACAGATGGAGACCGCCGAGTTGGCGCGCCGTGGGTTTCCTACGGAGCACGATGTGGTGACAGCCGCCCTCATTCTTCGAAACGCCACCGAGGAGGAGACACAGCACTACAATCACACCCTTCGCCAGCTGTCCAAAGACCTGTTGAAATTCCTAAAGTACGGACTGAACCCTGCCCGGTTTTTGTCCTGCGAGGTACAACACATGTTCTTTCTTGACTGCGAGTTTCAGGCTGACTGTAAGAAGATTTATATCTACTACAGGGCCAGGACGCGGGTGCTCTTCAGAGAGCTCGCCCAGTACTTGTATTGTTTCTATCGCTGCCGCATCTGGTTGCACGAGGTAGGCAGATGTGAATTGAAAGCCTCAGGCGATTTCTCACAAGATGCAGAGATTTCGTAAGACAGAAATATTTTTTTTTGTTTTTTCACCTACACAACAGAATTAACTCTTCTCTTTATTTTATTTTATTTATTTTTACTTTTTATTTTTCTTCTTCTTGTGCGGGTGGGTGGGTGTTGGCGTGCATTGACTTTTTTTTTTCTTTTTTTTGTTGGCCGCGAGGCTCCTCCCCCTTCCTGTTGGGTGCACCCCCTCCCTTCCCACTGCCGGTGGGCGGCGTAGTGTTGAATTAAAATAAATAACTTGTGAAGCGTGCATGAGACCGCCTGGCGTGTACTGAAACACACCGCGGCGCGTTTATACCGCGGAGAGAAAGAGAGAGAGAGAGAGAGGACGGGACGGCGGCAGAACACCCTTCTTCCATTCCTCTTTCTTCCCTCTCACTTCTCCCTCTTATTTCTTTTTATTATTTTATTTCCCCCACCCCTCCTCCTCCCCTTCCCACACAAAAACAGAGAAACAGACATAAATACAGAGATACAGAGAGCAACAGAGAGCAACAGAGAGAGTGGGGGGATGTACGGAGGACGCGAAGAACCGAAAAAAAAAAAAAAAATAGTGATTTTTTATGTAAAAAAAAAGGGGGGCGGAGGAAAAAGAAAAAAAAGAAGTGACGATGACATGCATGCATGCATAAATACGCACATAAACTCAATCGGAGGTCAATGGTCTTAACATGAGCGGATACGAAAAGAAAACAAAAAACAAAAAACAAGACAACAACAACAACAGAGAGAGAGAGAGAGAGAGAGAGAGAGAAAATAAAATAAAAGGAACGAGGGGCGGTGAAAACGCTCATTAATGCCCGCATGTAATAAAGACATTTTTGTTAATTCCAATTCTTCGTTTTATTATTATTTATCTTTTTTTTTTTTTTTTTTTGATGAACATTTCTTTTTAAAGTACACATATCAAAATCTGCGTGCTTGTCTGGTCATATTCATATTTGCATATGAATAGATGTATATGCTCGGAGATTCATTTTTCTGTGTTTTTCTTTTTCTTTTTTTTTTTTTTGGACAGGAGTTGCCGTTTTTTCCTTTTTTTTTTTTTTTTTATTTGTTAATTTTTATTTTTATTTTATTTTTGGTTTTATTCCTCCCTTTGAGGAAATTTATGGGTTTTTTTTTTTGCCACTTTGCCGGCTTGGCCCCCCTCCCCTTTTCTCCCCCCGCCCTTTTTTTTTTGTTTTTTTTTTTCTTCTTCTTTTTACACTCGGCCCGAGACAAATTTGCCCGGCGGCAGCAGACAGCGTGCGGGGGGCCCAGAAGAGAGAGAGAGAGAGGGAGATGGAGCGCGTTGACGGCATATGTGATGAGAGGAAAAAGGCTGCGCGGAAGAAGAGGGGAGCACATATTTCACTTCAGCTTGCACACGCACACTTGTGGAGTTTAATTAACTAATTATTTATTTATTTATTTATTTTATTTTTTTGTCTCTTTAATAATTATTTGTGCCCGTTGATTCCGCCAGTTTCACGGCCCTCTGCAATAACTGCACAAAATTCCCACGTGTTGCGCACGGGGCGAGGGCGGATGAAGCGGCGAAGAAATCCCCGCCCACCCCCTCAATTCCCCCACCCGTGGCGGCGTGGGAATGTGTCTTTTGTTTTGTACCTTTTTTTTTTTTTTTTTTCTTCTTGTGTGTTGTTGTTACCCCTTTTTTTTTTTTTTTATTAAGGGGATTTTTTTTTTTTTTCTTTTTTTTTTTTACGTCTGGCGCGTGTGTGGGCTGCGGAGGGGACATATGCGACTTTTGCAGCGCCGCCGCAGTTGACGTCGTGCGAGCCACTTTTCACGGAGACTCGTTTTTATTTCATGTACATACATACATATATATATATATTGTTTCTTTTGGCTGCGTGTAGGCATGCGTGTGTGTGTGTGCGCCAGGCATTTTTTTTTTCTTCCATTTCTCTTTGGTTTTTCGCCGGAGCTACGCGAGAGGACGTCGGCCGCGCAACCAGCGGTATCTAAAGGAAGAAACGGGTGCAAACAATCAATTGACTAAAAAAAAACAAAAACAAGACAGCAACAACAAACAGGGAAGGAGACACGACAACAAGAAGGGCCAAAAGAAAAAAAAAAGGAAGGAAGGAAGGAAGGAGGGAGTTGAGGGAGAAGGAACTAAATACGGCAACGACATTAAATACGGTTGCACGCCGGCAGTGAAATACGCAAGTGATGCTGCCACGCGTACTTGGGGCAGGCACATTGGAGCTCTTGCGGCAGGATGGCAGCAATGTGACAGCTTCCAAGGCTCTCCAAGGGAAGAAATATCTGCTGGTTTACCTATCCGCCAGTTGGTGTCCTCCGTGTCGATTTTTCACCCCAAAGCTGGCGGCTTTTTATGAGTCATTTCATAATAGTCACAGCTTTGAGATTGTCTTTGTTTCACAAGATCGTGACGAGCGCTCCATGCAGGCATATTTTCACAACCAAAAGTACAGCAGACTGGCAGTTCGTGGCGGAGAGGGTTCACACGGAGACTGGCTTGCGGTACCGTATGAGCAGGCAAAGAGGCTTGGTGTGACACTGATGCAGACTTATGCAATCCGGGGTATTCCGATGTTGCTCCTGTTTGACCTGGAAACCGGTGAGCTAGTAACACGGAACGCACGGGACTTAGTGGCGCGGAACTTGGATACAGCTGAGGGATTTCCATGGGCTGGCAATACAGACGGTGAAGGACTGAGGGGATCCTACTGGAATCAGTTGTTTCTGGTATTCATCATCGCTTCGGTACTGTATCAATTCTGGCGGTGATGCGCCCTCTCCAAGTTCCACCCTTGTTTATTTTCGGTGTTTTGTTTGCTTGCTTTTTGGTTCCCCAGCCTATGTTTTACTTTGTTCGATTTTCTTTGCTGTTTCCCATTCCATCTGCGTGTGTGCCTGCGTGAAGAGTGCAGGGCCAAATCAGCCGGACTCGAAAAGCAAAAGAAACCATATATATCCATGTGTGATGGCTCGAGAGGAAATGGGGTTAGAATAAAGAGAAACCTTCGCTTCAGCGGGGTTGCAGTGGTGGTTTTCTTCACACGAAGGGCCTCTTTCACTTTGGCAAACGGAGAGAGAGAAAAAAAAAAAAAAAGGGAGGCGGGAAAACAACAAAAGAACACCCAGAGACCTTACAAACGAGGGCAATGATCAATGTTTTTTATTTTTATTATTTAAACCGTGTCGATTGGCCACATTGTGACGGTTTTTTTTTCTCTCGTTACTGTTGACATTAACAATTGGTGCCGTATCGGCACTGAGTTTTTTTTTTTTTGATTGTTTTTTTTTTCAGTGTAGTGGAGCACGTTGGAAGTTGGCGGATGTAGTTTCCTTTTTATTCCCTTCCCTAATTCTCTACCCTCCCTCTGGGATGGGGAGTTTGATGGCGGCAGGACCCTCTTTTATAAACGGCCGCTTGATGATTTTACCACAGGCCTGGTTGTCATGGCGTATGCTTTTTTATATGAATTTCCTTTTTTGTTGATGTCCGAGCTTTGGATGCATCCCCCCTGAGCTGTGGTGTGTGTGTGTGTGTGTGTGATTGCCCGTTTGGCTGTGTCCTCCCCCGCTTTGTGGGAATGGAGGAGAAAGGGGGCCTCCGCCAGGCGCCTATTTCACATTAAGTTCTCCGTTGTTTTGTCTCATCATTTCGGTGGGGAGGGAAGAGCAGGCAAGCAGAGAAGAGGGGAGGTGAAAAAAAAAAAAAGAAAAAAAAGAGAAGTTCGGGACGAAGTTTAGTCCCGTCGGGGAGGGAAGTGAGGCATCGTTGGAGTTTGTGTGGTGGACCGTCTTGCCGAGGGGAAAGGGCTGTGCCTCGTGTGTAGTGGTGGTGACAGCGGGCGGGAGGAGGTGAAGGGGGCCACTCATTGAAGTGCACGTACTTTTTTTTTTTGTTTTCCTTTCTCTTGTGTTGTTATTTTTCTTGCAGAAAAGTGTTTCAGAGCAAACGCAGCGAAAACAACCAATAAGAAAAAAAAAAAAAAAACTTGTCAATTCACTGCACCCAAGTGAGCACAGGATGTCTGGTTTGGCGAAGTACCTCCCCAGCACCATTAAGCTGGTCTCCAAGAGCGGCACCGTCAGCCCCATTTCCCTTGCCGGGAAGACGGTGTTTTTTTACTTCTCCGCCTCCTGGTGCCCGCCCTGCCGCGGCTTCACCCCGACCCTTGTGGAGTTTTACGAGAAGTTCCGTGAATCGAAGAACTTCGAGGTCGTACTTGTCACCTGGGACGACGAGGAGGAGGCGTACAACGGGTACTTCGCCAAGATGCCATGGCTCGCCATCCCCTTCTCGAGCCGCGCAGAGCTGGAGGCCCTCCGGTCGACTTTTGGCGTGGAGACCATCCCCACAGTTATCGCCGTCAACGCCGACACGGGCGCCGTGGTCAGCACGAAGGGACGCGAGCGACTTTTGACCGACCCCGAGGGCAAAAACTTCCCCTGGTCCGACTAAAGGCCGTCTCGCCCGTGACAGATGCGAATGGGCGTGTGGGCGTGTTGTCTCGCTCTCTCCACCCTCTTTTATCTCCCGTGGCGCGCATGGAGGAAAAAACAAAAAACAAAAACAAAAACAACAACAAGGAAGGCAAAAGGAGAGGGGAATTAAAGTAAAACGGAAAGGAAAGAGATGTCATAAAAGAAAAAGGGAGGAAAATATATATATTTGGCGAACGAAAGGACCTTACATACACACACACAAAAAAAAAAAAAAAAGAAAAAAGTGGGTGGGGTGATGGGAGGAGAAAAAGAAGAGAAGACGACAAATGAGAAAAAAAGGGCGGGGGATAAAGAGTGAAGGATATCAGCAGCACATGGCCCTAAATTATATTTCGGCCACGTGCGGCATGAGAGCAGAGAGAAGCAACCAAAGGGAAAACAAACAAACAAATAAACAAATTTCCAAAAGGAAAAGTTGGGAATTATATATATATATACACGTTATTTTTATTGTTTGTACTTTCGGTCTGACCCGCCCTCTCGCCAGGGTTTATTGCCTGCCATCGCCACGACTGCCACTCCCACTGTACTGTGTTTCCGTGACAGGGGATCGTTGCGGTGGAAAGACAGAGTAGAGGCGTGAGGGGAAGAATACGTGGGAAAATGAGGAGAAAATCCAACGAAAAAAGAAAAACAAAAACAAAAGGAAGGGAGAAGAAAGAGAAAATGGTTCAAAAAATCACGAGAGAAAAAAGAAAAAAGAAAAAAAAAAAGAAAAGAAGGGGCAGGGAAATAGAAAGCTCAAAAAGGCAATGATGTATTTTGTGGCCGCAAGGAAGAAAAAAAAGAAAAAAGAGAAAGAAAAAGAAAATTCTGCATGCTAGTAAATATGCTGTTTTTTTTTTGTTTTTGTTTTTTGTTTGTTGAAGTGCTTTTGGGCGCTTTGCGATGGGACTACGACGGCAGAAGCGGAGGCTCGTGGGAGAAGCAACGGCGTTTATATTTTGTTATTTGTACTTTTTTCATTGCCATTTTTTTTTTTTTGCCTCAATGCCTTCAACTCCCGATCCTTTTGTTTTTCCCTCCGCACACCGCTGATGACGGTTGTTCATCGGGGGGCCGGTGAGGGAGGAAAAGGAAGAGAGGGAGGGAAAACAAGAAGAAGAAATACACGTAATGAAAAACTCGACGGCGACGGCGGCGGCGGCGGCGGCATCGTGCGGGAGCAACGCAGTTGGCGCTGCAGCGGATTCTTCTCGGAAACGTCTGTTTAATCTTCTCGAAGCGAAATCGAAGGAAAGGACCTTGCGGTTGGTGATGGCCTTCCGAAACTCAACCCCGCTAGAGCAAGAGGCGTTTGCGCAGGAGATCGGAGTGAGCCTGCCGAGGGAGGAGCCACAGGGACAGGGGCCGGGGCCACTGACAAGACAATCGCTCAGCGGCCCAGCGCTGGGGGTGCGGTCACGTGACCGCAGCTACGTCGCCTTGGCCGATCGCTTGCCGCAGTTGAATCCCACTGCAGGCATTACCGCCTTGATTTCACCGTTTTTGACGGAAACATCGGTCTCGGCTTCCTTTGAGAAGCATGCAGAGGACACCGCGGCGTCACACGACGAAAGCCAGAACCAATCCCGAGCATCTGCACCCAATGCTTTTTCCGAAGATCAAAATAAAGTCTCATTAACTTCTAAAGGGGTCATGACGAATGCTGACAAGGAAACGTATGAGGAATGGAAAGAAGTGGATTCCCAGGCACATACTTTCTTTTTCCGCAGTCGTGGTTATCAGGCCCTGCGCCTAGCTCGTGGTGACGAGAACGCCCCTGTGACTGAGGATTACACAAAGTCTTCGGTCTTTAATTTCACCGGTATTCCCATCGATGAGGCCGACTTGTGGGAATGGTTTGACACTTTGGACGTTGCAAGAAGCGGCACCATTGGTGTGATGTCATTTCTGGAGACCATCAAGCAGCTAGACCGGGGCTTTGGTGTGAGTCAGAAAGCAGAGGAGCAGTGGGTGCGGGATGTGGAGGCCCTTGCACCGGACGGACAACTGACGTTTGAGAAGTTTGCGTTTTTGGTTTTGCGTTTGGCCGCGCAATAATCTGACACCCCGAGAAGTGGGGATGAAATCATCACCCAAAGAAATGAAAGAGGGAAAAACAAAAACAAAAACAAAAAACAAGTAGTAAATAAAAATGATTTGCCAGCGTGTGGACGGGAGTAAATTGTTCCAATGTACACCATTTGCCTTGAAAAATAACCTTCGCTCCTGTCCTTTTATATGCATGTATAGTGAGACATGGGGATGTGAGAAGTGAGCACAAGAGAGTGGGAGAGTGGGAGAGAGAAAGGCAGAAGAAATGTTTTTTTTTTTTGTTTCCGCATGTTTGTGTGTGTGTGGTCTGGTGCTTGGGGCTTGACATTTGTTTTGCCTTTTCCCCTTTCTACCTTTTTTTTTTTTCACTCGCATGCCGCATCGTCTCCTTCTGTTTTCTTTTTTCCCTTTTTGTTTCTCCCTGTTTGTGTTTTTGTGTGCCCCGGGGACGTGGGGCCGTTGAATGCCCCCTTTTTTTTTCTTTTCCCCCCCCTCCACACCCCCGGTGGGGGGCGAAGTGCTTCTGCCCTCGCCGCCGGGTTGTTGTTCGGTCTCCTCGGGACGTCGCTGACGCCTTGTGCCTCCCTCGCCTCTTCTTTTGCCTCTTGCGTGGTAGGGCTTTAGGGAAAAGCACCACGGCGGGGCCGAATAACCAGACAAAAAACGACAACAACTTCCTGCCCCCCAATAAAACAACAATAACAACTAAAAACGAAACCAAAACAGGGAACAGGGTGAAAGACAATAAAACAAAATAACAATAACAAAAAAAGGGATGCAACATCTTTTTGGTTGTTTTCTTTTAGAAAAGCACTTTGCAAAGGGAAGTTGTGCCACACACAAGGGGGGGGTACGCATAAAGGAAGGAAATGTCAGCGGGACGGAGCTGCAGCAGAGGTTAATTTGTGACATGTGTGGTGAAATCATGGACGAAGAAGACGTGTCCCGGGAAGCAGAATACGTGCCGGCGACGTATATGCATGGAAAATACGTGCTGTTGTACCTCACCGATCCCACAGGCAACAATATTGCTGCTTATAAGCCTGCAATGGAGCCTGCAGCGACCCCATTTTCAGTGGGTTACGGACACAATGCTCTTTCCACCCCATCCCCCTCTTCAAGTATACATGTGACAGACTCTACCGTGAGATTGCCGCTCACGACTGGAGTGCCCGCTTTGGCTTACAACACGCAGTTTATCAGTAGCGCAACCACGGTTACAAGCAAATCATCCCGACGCGTCAAATCACTTATATCGGCTTTTTATGACCTTCTGATCCGTCAGTTAACGGTGTCTTCATCTCAAGATGGGAAACCCGTCTTTCCCGTTGTTGTTTTGGAGGTGCGTCAGCCCATTGGTTTGGATGACGCCCCGCCGTCAAATACTGTTCTAGGAGAGCAACGGGCCGTCTCAGCCATCGCGACGACTGCGGATGCCGCAAGAGATGTTCCTTCTTCTTCTTCACCTCAAAAGACCGAGGGAATACGTTCAGTCTTGGATTTTTCGCCAACAGAACCCCGACCATCACTCAATATTGCAATTACTAGCAGCCCCTTCTTTGGCGGGTGGTTCTCTTTGGAAGCACCAAATGCATACAGGCAAGTCATTGAGACGTTTGGTGTTAGTACTTGGCCATCCGTGCTGCTCTTTGACCCCAACGGGCAGCTTTTGACCATCCATGCACTTAACTACATTGAGCGGGAGGTGAGCTATGGGACGATGGACAGCTCGCAGCCATTCTCGCCAGCGGGCCATGAGGCGGAGCATCAAGATCGCTACGCCGGTTTCCACTCGGATTTTCCGTGGCTCATGGAAGAGACTCCGGAAGTCACGGATAAAGAATCAGAGTCTTCCATAGATGTATTTCCATTTTCGTCTCTCTTGAGACGTCTTATCCCGCACACACGTCGCGTTGGGAGAGCTCTTGATTGTGATTTCCCTGCTGAACCAGAATGTATGGCGGAAAGAGATGAATATGTAAAGCCTGATGAATGCTTAGACGGGGCGACGCATTTGGCTTTATATTTTTCTGGGGGCTGGCACCCCTCATCGAATAAAATTTTGCCTCGACTGCGGAGTTTATGGTCTGCTCTCAATGGTGGCGTTGAGGATGTTGATAGCGGCCGTGATCATCATAAAGAAGAACGTTTTTGGAATATGGAACGCGAGGCGCTCAACGTGTCTCTTTCTGGTGCGGGCTTAACATCTGTGCCACAGTGTATCCTTTCCTATCGGACGGGAGCATACGGTGGCCGCCACTACAGCAATAGTCAGATGGACAGTGATACACGAGGGTTCTCCTCGAACAACTCTCCGCTAGAGACACCAGTGCGCATGTCAAAGGAAAAAGTATTTCGAGATGCCAGCCCGCATGTGAATCTGGGAACGGAACCAAAACCAGAAGGAACATCAGCCAAGCAGCTGAGTGGAGTACCATCGCGTTCATTATCGCCAGCGCATTCGTCATCTCAACGCCAGCCGTCATCACCATCACCACAGGAGCGGCTAGAAGAAAAAGTAGAATTAGACAGGGGTGAAGAAGAGGAAGAAGAAGAAAAACAACAACAACAACAACAACAACAAAGACGGGCTGTTCATCTTCAGGTTGTTTACTTGAGCTGTGACACCGACAAAAGTCAACTCTATTCGGTTCTTGGTGATATGCCGTCCTCTTGGCTTTGCGTCTCGTCTCTTTTTGGACCTAATCATCGCAAGATGCTTGAGGAGTGTTTGGATATTTTTGATGTTCGTGTTTTTCCTCGTCTAGTTTTCATGGAGGTGAGGTCTGGGAGCGAAATGCCAGGACCTGCCAGTGGTTCTTCCTTGGTAACGTTGCTGCCGAACCTCAACTTCCATGTTTTACAGTCTCATGGAGAAGGGTTGATTTTTTGCGATAATGGGGTAAAAGAGTTTCCATGGAGGGAAGAGAAGCGTGGGGGTTTGCCACAACTTCCGTTTCGGCTTCCTGTTGCTCACGAGTTCTCCTTGCTGAGTGGTTCCCGTGGTGCAATAAAGTCATTTCTTGCAGAGGGTGGGTGCTTATTCTTGCTTTGTGGTACGGGAAAGGTTTCAGCAGAACTTCACAAGATGTGTGCTGCTGCCGTAAATGAGGCTAGTCTCTGGTGGTCGCAAGAAATAGGACTTTTTTTGGAGCGACTAAAGAGCCGTTTGACGTCATCTTCACGGGGAACTTTGGCCCCTACCGACTGTTGTGCTTCTGAACAGGTGCCCGGAAATCCTCATTGGTCTACTACATCGGACGTTTGGGCTTCCGTGACGTCTGCAGCAACTTTGTTGGAGTCGTCTGCGGCGGCAACGAATGAGCAGATGCCTTATTTACCTGTTTATTTTTTTGACGCCGTTGTAGAGGAGACCGCGATGGGCAATGATCTTGAAGCAGAGTCTCAGAATGGGAGTGATGGTGGTGAAGGCCACATTAGCAGCGCATGTAAAGAGGAAAAAGCTTTGCTGCAGGAATACATTTTTTCTGAGGTGCTTGAGGATGCGCATCTCCTGCCACCGGTTGAAGGAGAACCGTTCCTTCTTTGCGTTCAATGGCCTGGACGACGCGCTGCCGTGCTTCGACAAAAATTTGAATATGAAAATGGTTCAGGACCGGCATCTGCAATATCCCTGCGTTCATCCTGCAGCACCGGTACTAATGCACCACATCCTAACAGTTATGTGACATCAGGGAACGCAATGTTATTGGATGCACGGCAGGTGGGCATGGCTGCGTCTCCAGGAGCCTCTACGGTGCCATGCCATTGTCCTTGCTCTCTTTCCGCCGCAATGCGGTTGGAACCTTCATCAGGGCTGTATTCGCCGAATCCACTGTGCTCAGTGCCACATGTGAAGGCATTTATAGCTCAGCATGCTGTGTGGCGACGTCGTTAACTGTATTTCGGGGCAGCGCGGAAGCGAATCTTCATTAATATTGCCATGTTGATTCTCCACTTTCCCCATTCCCCCTTCTTTTTTCCTTTCTTCGGGAGTTTTTTATCCGTGTGTATTTTCTGGACGCTTACCCCTTTTGCCCCCAGTTCCCTTCCTCATTTTTTCTTTTTTTTCTGATGATGATGATGTTTTTTATTTTTATTTTTGTGTTTTTTTTTTTTTTTGAAGGGGAGGTCATTCACATGATGCGGTTCTGTTGTGATGTGGGCTGTTGAATCTCTTTGCACCGCCAGTAACGTGTCAATGCGTGTGGCGCCTTCAACTCTTCTTGTGTTTGCTTTTGTGTGCTCCTTGTTGAGGGGGGAGGGGAAGGGGTGGGGAAAGGAGAGCCAAGGGTGCGCACAGCGGCTTGCCTACAAAAATAGGACCGGCAAGAAGAAAGGATCCAACAAAACCAAAAAAGGAAGGGAGGAAGAGGGGAAGAGGTAGTTGTTTTTTTTCGTTTCCCCAACTACCATAGAAATAGATTATGTCTACGGAGGATGCTTTTTTGCCTCTGAGGCGCATCATTCTTGGGGCGTTGGCGATTTTCTGTGCTTTTGCGTTTGGCACTCTTCAGAGTTTGGATGCAGTAAAGTTGTTTAGCTATTTGCGTGCGAACGTTTATCTTCGCCGCATCATGGGGTCGTGCTTGGTGGTGAATGGTGTTTTTTTCCTTAGCATATGGGTTGCCTCCCTTCTTTTTTCTTATATGTGGACCTTTGGAGAGACTTTTATGTGGAGCAGCGATGCTGCCGTTATTGATAATGAGAGCGGCGGAGGAAAAGCGGCAGCCACAATGAATGGGATCGGTCTTGCGGGGAAAGTTTGGTTTTCTGTGTTTGATGTGATGTGGGTTCTCCCCGTCTATGCGCTCACTCAGGCTCTCGGTGTGCGTTGGTACAGCGCTCTCTATACCGAGGCCTACGCCGAGAAAAAACGTCGTGCGTCCTCGTTGGGGGTGCAGTGGGCAGCCAAGGAGTCCGGCAGGGATGACGACATGTGCTTCTCGGGTGCCTCGCAGGGCGCTGAAGATTCTTTTTCTCTTCGCAGTGTCGCGGTATCTCTTAGCGAGATCATGTTCAAGGCACTGGTGACAGCTGTATACGCCCTTGTGGCCGCGGTGGTGGATATCATTTTCCCCTTTCCAGTTGGACATTATCTTGCCTTCATTATGAATAGTTGGCTGTACGCTTTTTACGTCTTTGACTATCGTCTTTCTTCACAGTATTTATTTGACCGTAGGTCACGACGTCACATCCGCGTAACTCTATCGGCAACACTAAAGTTTTTTGAAATACAGTGGGCCTATTTCTTGGGGTTTGGTGCCACCCATTCGATCATTACAGCTGCTATACGGTCTTCTTGGTTAGCATCCTCGTGGTTTTCTATCGCGTCGGTGACATCCGTCCTTTTTGGGGCTCACATTGTTATTTCTGTGGAGGCAACTCCGGCCCCTCGCGCACCATTTCATGTGCCAATGTTCACACCGTTCTTCGCTCTCTGTGGTATGGTGCTGCGCATGGCTGTGGGAGCCGTGCGTTGACTCCTTTGTTTCTGTGTGCCTTGTGTGGTGAGGGCTGGATTTCTTGCAATGCCATGCTTGTTGCTGTTCTCCGGAGTGGCGCTGGAGTTGCCGGGGAAGAGTTGGACGGAACAGTCTTTTGTGTGCAGAGCCGCGGAGTTATTGCACAGCTGTCATATTTGCAACGCGACGGGAGGGAGTGCTGGAAGCATGTCCGTGGGACGGGTTTCTTCTCTGAGTCTGCAGGGCCGGTGGTGGTTTCGTGCGAAGCGTGTGCTGGACGGCGGGCGCTTGGGGGTGACAGGAAGGAGCCGTGCGTGTTCCGCCTGCTGTTCCTGGCCAGGATGCTTTCTGGCCACGTGGGCCCACCGCTCTGTTTCACATTCACCTCCGTATTTCTTACCTGTTTCCGCCTTTTTCTCTTCTCTTTCCATCTCTTGAACGCAGCTTATCTTTTTTTCCGTATACGCCAGACAAGAACAGAAAAAAGTGCTTGAGGAGGTTGAGCGCCTCTTTTGGGTTGGTTGAAAGTTTTCTGATGAAAGTCTTCTTGTGTATTTTGCTACTTTCTCTTGGATTTATCTGGGTGTGCGGTGTCGGGGAAGTACTGCCGCTTGAGGCCTATGAGAACCGCACGTTGTATCCGGTGATTCCAACGTACGACCGTCTTCCCCTGCTAAGCATTGGTGTTCTTAGTGATATTCAGTACGCTGACGAGGAAGAAAAGTCTCGACGACATTTTCGCCTTAGCCCCGGTAAGGTTGAGCACGCTGTGAAGGAGATGAATGCCAATCGCAGTCATATGGACCTTGTCATGCATCTTGGGGACACCGTCAACCGCGACATCGCAAGGAATCTCCAAGTGATTAATTCGATTCTGAAGCAGTTGCAATTTCCCTTTTTCCAGTTACTGGGGAACCACGATTTCTTGGGGCTGGGCGAAGAGCACCATGATCATGTTTATCGTTTGCTGAGGATGCCAGCCCGTTACTATAGTCTTCAGGTAGGTGAGGGCGGCGTGTTCCTTCTCATTGTGCTCGATGGGACGGATCTGTCGGTGTTTGCAACAAGGGCCGGTACTGCCAGACGGGCAGAAACGAATGGCATGAAGCATCGTTATCGTCATCGCAAAAATATGTTGGATGTTAATGGAGGCATTGGTGAGGAACAAATGCAATGGCTTCGCATGCAGCTGGAGTACGCTAGTAAGCAGAAGATGGTTGTGCTGGTATTCTGTCATTTTCCCATGTACCCTTACGACGATGAGCTCAATCTCTGGAATGACGTGGAAGTTGTGCGTCTGCTCTCCAATTATTCCTGCGTTGCCGCTGTCATATCGGGCCACACCCACCGTTGGGAGCATGAGCAACTTGTGGTGGCTCACAAGAACGGGGAATTCACCATTCATTTTGTTAAATTTGGTGGCATTGTTCAGTCTCCTTTTACCTCTTGGGGCTTCATTGAGGCATATGAAAAAGAGCTTCACTTGCACGGTCTGAATTTCGGCCGTGTGTTTGACTATCGTCTGCCCATCCGCGGGGTGCCTGGGGGGGCAGTGTTGCGCAAGACAACACGGGTTTTGTCGTCAGGGCCCTTTATTCGCCGCCGGAGGAATGTAAGAGTGATTTCTCGATGTGGTGGTGACACAAAGTGGCTTCGAAACATCATACACCAACCCGTTCCTAATAAGACTGTGGGCAGAACCGAGAATGTTTCAAGTTTAATGTGGGTTGAATGTGTTATTTTTCTTTCTTTGGTTGGTGGCATCGCTCTGCTGCGTTTGATGTGTCGGAAAAACCGAGGGCGTCAAAGTAAATTTGTCAGTGTTAGG